ATATATATATATATATATATATATATAAACAGCTGTAAAAAACAGACTAATAAATTGCGACTCGATGCACTGTCGAGCGCAGGGAGAGACAAATACGTGACGATTCGCGGTAGGCAGATAGAGAGGCGGTGACCTTCGGACCCACGAGCGACCTTTACCTGGCTGCGGACCATACCGTTGTACAGACGTAATTACTCACGGACAGGCCTGTTCTCCCCGTGGAACACGTTGATAGTTCCAAGAAGCACGCCAGATTCCTTGAGGTGACTCCGCTTGAAAATCGAGCCACGATTCTTTGGCCCGAAAAAATTCCGTGCCTTTCATATGATCTGTTTTCTAACAGAATTAATTATATACTCGTTGTTAAAGTGAAATAGATATATATTTGAAGTTCGATAAAAACGAGATAGAAAGTGTAGTGTACAGCTCAGTGCAGAAACAGAAAATAAATTTATAGTAAACCTTGAGCAACGAGAAACATGATCCTCTTTTATGTCCATTTCGACAGAGATGGATTAATTTTAATCTCGGTTTATCTTTTATCTTGCAGTTTTAAGAATTAGAGAAAAGATAAAGAGCACATTAAAGCGAAATTAAACTTAATCGATATAAAGATTGGACATTATGGGTGATTTCGATTAAACTCTAATTAAACTTAATTGGCCAATTTGAATTTTTTATTTCTAATTATACAGTTCGATTGATTCAATTTGTCCTGAATTTCTAATCTTTCTTTCCGCGTGTTAAATGACAAGAAATTAATATTCACGTTAGTGGAATAACTTAGGACTTTAATATTGACATCGACCACTTACGGCAATCGACCTAATTTCATTATACTGGACTCAATAAATTTTCACGCGGAAATGATGAATTCGTCATGTAGTTGATATTTTTATTATTATTATCTTTCTTTTATTTTTCGTAATTTGTCATAAAATATATATATATATATATATATATATATTTATTAGATATTTTATTTTTATCAACTTTAATTTAATTCTTGATATATTTTATTCATTATATTAAATTTATTCCTATTTATATCTTTTTATCGATATTATGATTTATTATTAATGACTAAACAAGATTTGTTAGTAAAGTTGAAAAAATTCATGTTATTACAGCATTAACAAAATATATACTTACAAAAAAATATTAAGAAGAATATTAATGTGATACAGCAACATTAAATTTCATATAATTTATGAAATTGCAACTGTGTGAAATAAATTTATAAAATATTGCATGTATTAGTTTTAACCGCATGTATTAGTTTTAACCTAGTGAAATATTAACCTAGATTGGAAAATTATAAATATTAAAATTTAATTTTTCATTATTTATAATAATTAAAATTTGGTTGCATCCATAGTTGCAAATAATATGATATAACGCATAAATAATAAAATAACAAATACATCGTTATTTTATAGGTGCAAAATGACACGTGCAAAGTATCTGAGCTACGTCATAAAAGGCTAAAATTTATTAAATGTTTTATTCTTTTACTAATTTGTAAATTTTTTTTCTAATCGTATTAATATTTTTCATACACTGAGTATTGTGAACAGATGACAGGGTGTTACATATCAGAAATAGGAAATTGTCCATATCCAGGGTCGAAGACGAAAAGATAGTCGCCTGCAAAACATCAAATAATGAAACTCACATAATTTGTAAAATTCTGTTCAATCATACGTTTATCGTATTCATCTCGAATAATGTTAAAAGTTTTATTATATCTGAAATGTTTACATTACTATAAAAAATTATGCATATGTAGCTCTAACATACCTTTTACGAGTGCTTTATTCATGATAGAATCCAATTTAAATTTTTAATTTGATGTATAATTCTTATGTTCTATTTTTCCTTTAATAGTTTAAAAGATAAAAAGAATGCTTATGTTGCAATTTTTTATTTTCTAAATTTTATTACACATAGTTACAATTTCATAAATTATAGATAAAGTTTTTCTTGAATTATTTATTTCTTTAACGTGAGATAATTTATTATGCTGGGAAGTATGATTCAAAAATATATTAAAAAACTTTTTTATTACAATTTTAGACACAAAGTAATTTTGACAATAACATTATATTACTTGAGATTTGTCATACCCCGTCTCTAGTGATGTCAAGTTAAATTCTTCGCGGATTATGATTTGAAAGTGACAATCATCTTCTCTGCGGAAGATACCGGAAAAAGAATCTGCGGTACTCCGGGCTCATTTAATTATTCGAGTCGTCGCGCGGGATTACGGGTGAGACGGAATTGATTAACGCGCGATGGCGAAACGAACGACCGAAGAAATTTCCGCGAGGATCGCGCCTGCAGACTCATCGCGATTGAAACGCATTTGTTGGATATTTGCGATCTCCCGGTTGATAAGATCGTAAACAAGCGCGCGGCGAGAGAATATCGTTTCTTGATACATCGATCGTCACGCGCGTGTACGGAACAATGCGAAGGATACGCAAAAGCGAAACGCACGCCTGGGAGATCGTCGACGAGCGAGCTCGGGGGCACACGCAAGGTGACCACTCGCTGACGTGTGCAAAGAGGAAAAAAAAAAACAACAGAAACGCAGAAGCGTATATACGTGCGGTGGCACATGGAGAGAACGGAGTATTACATCGCGGTGTATCCCCATTTATACAAAATTCTAAGTGAAAGGGATCGATGATATGTAAAACGCGCCGCTTCGCGCGGCGAGAATATCGTTCCGCGGTTGAGAGATTTTGCGTTTTGATTCGCGCATTGAGATATACGTGTAGTGGTGAAAAAAAGAGAAAAAAAATTGCCCGAAGTCACTCGGCGCGAGTGTATCTTGAGTCCCGCGTGAGGTCGTGCACGCGGCGCAGCCGCGACCGACCTATTCGCAGCCGCGGCCGACCTCGACAACGTCGGCCGATAAGTCATCGCGCGCGGACGCGCGTTACATGACATAATCCGCGACGTTCACCAGAGCGAGTGAGA